CAGTTCTGCTTTGAGCAGGTTCCTCTGCATGGAATAGGGAGGTCAGTGGCTTCAGGCACATCAACCGCTCCGACTCGGTGTCCGCTCTGGTTTCAGATGCCACAAAAATTCACAGTGGGGAGTTTTGGGTTCATTAACTCCAGCACAGCACCGTGTCGATAGCTCCTGCCTTGTGCTAAAAGCCACTGCTCATCCTGTGCTGGCCTTGGAGCCAATCTGTCACAGAATTTCCTCTCCTCTCTCCTAGACGTGTACTGTACCGAGCCCTTCCGCATCCCCTTCGCGGGCAAAGTTCAAGTTTGCTGTTTTGACAAAACGGGCACGTTGACCAGCGATCACCTCGTGGTGAGAGGAGTGGCTGGGCTCAGGTAGGTCCTGGGTGATTGTGGTTGTGGTTGCTGCACTCTGGGCTTTGGGAACAACTCGGGTAGGAGTGAAATCACATTCCAGGGAGGATGAGAAGATAATCGGGGATTCAGAGAGTGTAAAAATGGATTGAGCTGGAAGGAGAGAGGGTCCTTGGGCTCAAGACTTGTGAATTTAGTGGTCTTGGGAGATTTTTTGCTGAGGTTTTTTACGTAACTGAGATTTTCACCGCTCCTCCATGCGGTAGGATCCTGCCTCCTCCTTCCACTGCCATAATGAGCTGTGCTTGAAGGCAAAATGCCAAGAGCCATCCGAGTCCTTTTATCCTGCAGTTACTTAAACGTGTTCATTCAGGCCTATACTTCAAGCGTTCTGCTTGAACCAAGTTTGCTTTGGAGAACTGGCAAAAAAAAAATCACGGGCTTTGGCACCGTTTGCAGTTGAGACAGCGCCAGATTTCCTACGGCTTTGATCTCGCCACGAGAAGCCTCCGCTGTTTATGAGAGGAGGAATTTTGGGCTGGGAAAACATCCAGAATTTGTCTGAGATCATCGTGTGGGGAAGAGGGGTCTGTTAACACGGGCGGTCTTTTTTTGTGCTGCAGGGATGGGAAGGAAGTGACGCCAGTGTCTGACATTCCTGTAGAAACCCACCGAGCCATCGCTACTTGCCACTCGCTGGTGCAGTTGGATGATGGGACGCTGGTGGGGGATCCGCTGGAGAAGGCGATGTTGATGGCTGTGGACTGGACCCTGACCAAAGGTAAAACCCGATTCCAGCTCCTCCCTGAGCCCTGTTTACATACACTGGGGTTTTTTGAGGGGAGGGACATGATGAAAACACCGGTTTTGCCAATTCTGAGCGTGAAATTATCTGGTCTGTGGAGGTCTCCTGTGCCAGCTTTCTGCAAGGAGTGAATTCCAGCTGGGTACGATCCCAGCAACTGGTTTGGGGCAGTGGAAATCATTGCAGAGCACGTTTGAGGGACAAGAAATAGTGCAAGTCCCTTCTCAGGACTCTGGATACTGCATCCTGCAGCTGGCACATTCAGTGGTGTCTTTTAATTCCAGTTGTGCCGTCTCATTAAACCCAGGGCGTGACGAGCGCAGTAGTGAAAACGTGACAGCATGGGTTTAGCATGGCCTGTGGGAAGCCTCTCTGGAGGCTTTTTGCTTCTTGGCTTTCGCTTACACCAGTAACTAAAGCAGAAATCTGCCAGAAATATTATATACAGATCCTACTGGAACCCACACTGTTGTGGTTCTTGCTTCTGGATTTTAACCTGTGATAATGCATGGTAGAGAGACACCTTGGAGGGGCGGAGAGACACCTTGGAGGGGCAGAGAGACACCTTAACGTGGTGGAGAGACACCTTAACGTGGTGGAGAGACACCTTGGAGGGGTAGAGAGACACCTTGGAGGGGTAGAGAGACACCTTGGAGGGGTAGAGGGACACCTTGAAGGGGTAGAGGGACACCTTGGACGGGTAGAGAGACACCTTGGAGGGGTGGAGGGACGCCTTGGAGGGGCGGAGGGACACCTTGGAGGGGCGGAGAGACGCCTTGGAGGGGCAGAGAGACACCTTAAACCTATGTAGCTGTTCATACCAGCGCACACAGGCGTTCTGCTCGATTATATCCCTTAATTCTTGGCTCTAGAATTTCCAGCTCTGTGTGCTTGTATCTAAGGCGAGGGAATTCATGTGATCTCGGTGACCTGTGGGTTCCTTTGGGACCCAAAGGGAGGGATGTTGCTTTTGATACCGAGAAACCTTTCAGGATTTCCTGATCTCTTTGTTTCCAGATGAGAAAGTTTTCCCCCGAAGTATTAAAACTCAGGGACTGAAAATTCACCAGCGCTTTCATTTTGCCAGTGCCCTGAAAAGAATGTCTGTCTTGGCGTCGTACGAGAAGATCGGCTCGACTGATCTCTGTTACATTGCAGCTGTGAAAGGGGCCCCCGAGACGCTGCACAAAATGGTGAGCGCATCTCTCGAGGAGAGGAAGGGCCTTCTCTGGCACCTCCGCTTGTCCCTGCCGAATCTGGAACCTCAGTGATGCAGGGATTTGCTCCTGCGAGGCGGCACGGTGACCCCCGTGCCTGAAAACAAACCCCACTGGGGACTTTCAGTCTGAGCCCAGTGAGAATCTTCACCGTCCACATTCCTGGCTCTGAGAGCAGAGGGTTAAATCCGGGGGATCTCCACTTTGATGGTGAGGGACCCTCCCAAAGGTCCCTCTTTTCCCCTGTCTGCGTTATTAATGCTGGAATATGCCACTGGGTTGTGTTTGAAGCTGTATTAATCGATGCTTTTTTCCCCTCATTTTCAGTTGTCTCAGTGCCCAAGCAACTACCACGCTGTCCACACGGAGATTTCACACGAAGGGGCAAGAGTGCTGGCCCTTGGCTACAAAGAACTGGGGCACCTCACTCACCAGCAGGTACAGCCGTCTGCTTAACCCTTGAAATCCAGCTCCTGTTAAAGGAAACGGGGATGGTGTTTGCAGGGGAGAGGGGTGGGGACTCTTTTTGGGATGGGATTGCCCAAAGCTGCTGTAACCGCGTGGTTTTTACGATCTGGATCTCTGGGGAAGATCACAGCCTCTGTGCTGCGCTCCCAGCTTTGAATTCTTGGGCATCATTGATCAATATTTCCATCCCCTCATCGTCAAGCAGGGTCAACTCTTTCCTTGCAGCAACTGCAGAGGCTCAGCGCTGAGTTTCTTAGCTGTCAGCGGGGTTTTATGTGGGAGTGGGCACATGTAACTGTTTTCAAGGCTGTTTCTGTGGAGCCTTGTGCCAAAGAAGCCTTTCTTTAGAGCAGCTGGAGATGATCCAGGGTTGCTCCGTGCTTCTAGAGAGGCTTTGATTGCAAGGAAGCACCCATTTGACAGCAGGATCACAGTGGGTAATGCTGTGCTGATTTGCTTTGGCAGGTGAGGGAGATGAAGCGCGAAGCTTTGGAGTGCGACCTTAGATTTGTCGGCTTCATTGTGGTTTCCTGCCCTCTCAAAGCTGACTCCAAAGCTGTCATCAGGGAGATCCAGAATGCATCGCACCACGTAAGCCTCGGCAGCATCGCAGCCACGGTGGTTGGGATGGGAGAATTTCGGTACCGGAGTGAGGGCAAAGGCTTTCCTTGTGGTGAAGGCAGGGAAACCGTGGGGATGTGATGTTATTTTTGCTGTAGGATGAGAGAGAGCTTTTCTGCAGTCTCAGAGGGACTGTCACCAGCATCCAGAAGTCATTTTGGCATAAAGGAGACTCGTTATGAAGTGCTGCTTCCCTACCCAGAACTGATTTTGGACCCCTCTCGCTTTCCCCTCAGGTAGTGATGATAACGGGGGACAATCCTCTCACTGCCTGCCACGTGGCCCGGGAGCTGCACTTCCTCCAGAGGGAGCACACCCTCATTCTGCAGCCTCCTGTGAGCAAAGGTAAGCAATGCCATGCAGGAAATGGGTCTGTGTTCTGGAGGACGACAGCCAAAGCTCCACTGGGGCGTTGTGTCGACATTGGCCGCGCTGCTGCTTGATGCTGATAAAGGCAGCAGCTCATTTTCTAGAATCCTAGATAGCACTCTGCCCTTTTTCACTCTCTTCTCTGGCCTGCAATACTCTGCAGAGTGACATCCTTGCCTCTGCCAGCTCCTAAACCGAGCTATCCAAGCACCAGGATAACAAAAACAATGACAGCTTGAAGGCCTCTTTGCTGTGTGGGTTCAGCGGGAAGCCAAGAGCCATGTAAGGGTGGAAGGATCCCCATAAAGACTGTACCTGGCTGGGATGTGGGCACATCACTGCCCTGAGGACCTCGTGTCCATCATTCTGAGGGGCTGCAGACACCAGTCAGTGTTTTTTGGGGTGGCTGAGAGCGTTTTTTGCAGCCAGACGTGCTCGTGTCCAGCTCGTTCTTCTCTTTGCAGGCTCCAGCTGGCAGTGGCGGTCCCTCGACGGCGCTGTGGTGCTCCCCATCCTGCCGACCTCCTCACGGGACCTGACCCAGCAATACGACCTGTGTGTAACCGGGGAAGGGCTCGCTCACCTCCAGGCCGTGAACAGGCAGCAGCTGCTCAGACTCATACCCCACATCCAGGTCTTTGCCAGGGTGGTGCCAAAGCAGAAGGTGAGAGATTTCAGCTGCTGCCAAGACCCAGTTCTAGCAGGGTTCCCAGCAGGGCTCGGTTGGTGCCTGGAGCCACAGAAATGCTAGCATGAGTCATGCTAAAGCAGCGTAACCTCTCCTGGTATCCCAGCCAGCTGGCAGCAAGAACCAGAGCTCAGGATGTGCCTTCTTGTTATCCTAAAGGGCCCTGAGCCTGCTGGCCTGTTCAGCTCCTCTAATACAGGGGCTGAAGGTGAAATTTTGGAGTCAGGGTGTGAGGCCAGCGAGTTCGTGGAATCACAGAAACATTAGGGCTGGAAAAGACTTAAGATCAAGTCCCAACTACCAACCCATCCCCACCATGCCCACTAAAATATGTCCCAAAGTACCACATCCACGTGTTTTTTGAACCCCTCCAGGGATGGGGACTCCACCACTGCCCTGGGCAGCCCCTTTAGTGTTTGACCACTCATTCAGGAAAGGAATTTTTCCTTGTATCCAATCTAAACCCTCCCTTGGCACAACTTGAGACCATTTCCTCTCCTGTCACTGGTTACTTGGGAGTAAAGGCTGATCCACACCTCCCTTCAGGCAGCTGTAGAGGGTGATAAGGTCTCCCCTCACCCTCCTCTTCACACTAAACCACCCCAGCTCCCTCAGCTGCTCCTTGTTCTCCACACCCTTCACCAGCTTCGTTGCCCTTCTCTGGACAGCAAGGATGGAGTTTCTGCAGAACAGAAGCATTTGAGACCTAACCCTGCCCTGGCTGCAGTGTATCAAGCCCAGTCTCACACCACCTCTCTTTCCACAGGAGTTTGTAATCACTACTTTGAAGAGCCTGGGCTATGTCACGCTGATGTGTGGGGACGGCACCAACGACGTCGGAGCTCTCAAACACGCAGACGTGGGTGAGTCCACGTGCAGGGCCCTCACATTGTGCCCCTGTCTGAGGTTTTAGCCTTCCTAAACACCAAACCAGCGTTGGCTCCTCTGCTGTTTTGAGGGCTGAGATTGATCTGACCTAGCTAGCTGGAGGCCAAGCACAAGTGGTGTTCCCC